GGCTAGGAGGCAGCGGGGGCGGCGGCGGCGGGGATGGAGGGCTAGGCGGGTGGCGGCGGAGGCTGCGGGGGAGGAGGAGGAGGGGGGCTAGGAGGCAGCGGTGGCAGCAAGGCAGGCGGCACGCCAGGCGGGAGCGGTGCAGGAGATGGCGGTGCGGGGCTGGGCGCCAGGTGGGAGAGGTGCAGGAGAGGGATGGGGTGGTGGTGGTGGGGGAGGAGGCGGCGGCGGCGGAGGGGGGCTAGGAGGCGGCGGGGGCGGCGGCGGCGGGGATGGAGGGCTAGGCGGTGGCGGCGGAGGAGGGGTGGTGGTGGTGGGGGAGGAGGGCTTGGTGGTGGCGGTGGCAGGGGAGGTGGTGGCAGCGGAGGGGGGCTTGGTGGTGGTGGCGGCGGCGGCAGTGGGGTGGCGGAGGGGGAGTTCTGGGTGGTGGTGGGGGAGGAGGCGGCGGCGGCGAAGGGGGGCTAGGAGGCGGCGGCGGGGGCGGCGGGGGAGGAGGAGGAGGAGGAAGGGGCGGTGGCGGTGGGGGCGGGGGACGCGGTGGTGGGGGCGGGGGACGCGGTGGTGGGGGCGGGGACTGAGGAGGTGGTGGAGGCGGCGGCGGGGCGGTGTCTCCAGCGAGGGAGGCGGCGGGGCGGAGGCGGCGGGGCTGGGCGTCTCCAGCGAGGGATGCAGCACGCCAGGTGGGAGCGGTACAGGAGATGGCGGTGCGGCGCAGCAGCCGCCTCCATCGGCCCGCCGTACTCCGCCTGAGGGGGGAGGGGAGGAGAAGGGGTGCGGGGACACAAGGAGGTTAAGGAGGAGGCGGAATGCAAGTAGTATAACAGACGGGCAGGCGTTGCTGAACACCCGAATCCCGCGCAACACATTGGAGACCCATGTGTCACCCACCCGTGCTCGAGGTGACGAAGGCAGCGAGCCGCGAGCAGAAGAAGGGAGCGGTGCAGGATATGGCGGCGCAAGGCTGGCGGCGCCGGCGAGGTAGGCGGCACGCCAGGCAGGAGGGGAGGGGAGGAGGGACCCCCCTCCCTGCACTAGTTCGGCGGCGGCAGAGGGGGGCTAGGAGGCGGCGGTGGTGGGGGCGGGGGCTGAGGTGGTGGAGGCGGCGGGGGCGGCGGCGGGGGGGTGGTGGTGGAGGGCTGGGCGGTGGTGGTGGAGGCTGCGGGGGAGGAGGAGGGGGGCTAGGAGGCGGCGGCGGCAGCGGGGGCGGCGGCGGCGGGGATGGAGGGCTAGGCGGTGGCGGCGGAGGAGGGGGGGTGGTGGTGGGGGAGGAGGGCTTGGTGGTGGCGGTGGCAGGGGAGGTGGTGGCAGCGGAGGGGGCTTGGTGGTGGTGGCGGCGGCGGCAGTGGGGTGGCGGAGGGGGAGTTCTGGGTGGTGGTGGGAGAGGAGGCGGCGGCGGCGGAGGGGGGCTAGGAGGCGGCGGTGGTGGGGGCGGGGGCTGAGGAGGTGGTGGAGGCGGCGGCGGGGGCGGCGGGGGAGGAGGAGAAGGAGGAGGAAGGGGCGGTGGAGGCGGGGGACGCGGTGGTGGGGGCAGGGGCTGAGGAGGTGGTGGAGGCGGCGGTGGGGCGGTGTGGTCGAGGGAGGCGGCGCGCTAAGCGGGAGCTGTGCAGGAGATGGCGGCTTGGAGCCGAGAGGAGCAGGCTAGGGAGGCGGCGCGCTAGGCGGGAGCTGTGCAGGAGATGGCGGCTTGGAGCTGAGAGGAGCAGGCTAGGGAGGCGGCGCGCTAGGCGGGAGCTGTGCAGGAGATGGCGGCTTGGAGCTGCATGCCGGGCTGCGGAGGGGGGGAGGGGGAGGGAGACGGGAGGGGGAGGGAGGGAGGAAGGGAACGCGCGCGACAGAGTACGACAGGGGCTTGGAGGAGGTATACACACGAATCCCGCTCCTGTTATCCGGCCCCCCCCTCCACCCAGCTGCCCCCGAGCCCCTTCACTACCCCCAACCCCTTCCCCCCTGCCTCGCCACACCGCGCCCACCTGCGCTGCTCGGTCCCATGTGGAGAAGTGGCACACCAGGAGGGAGTGGAGGGGGAGGAGATGGTGGTGCGGGGCTGGGCGGAGAAGGCGAGGGAGGCGGCACGCCAGGAGGGAGCGGTGCAGGAGATGGCGGTGCGGGGGCTGGGCGGAGAAGGCGAGGGAGGCGGCACGCCAGGAGGGAGGGAGGGGAAGGAGGAGTTCGTGTGGTTCTGCTGCCGCTGCTGCTGCCGCTGCTGCTACTGGGGCTCCGTGAGTCCACAATAGAGAGGGCTGCGTGCCTGGCTGGATGAGGAGGAGCGGCGGTGGAGGGGGGCTAGGAGGCGGCGGTGGTGGGGGCGGGGGCTGAGGAGGTGGTGGAGGCGGCGGCGGGGGCGGCGGGGGAGGAGGAGGAGGAGAAGGAAGGGGCGGTGGCGGTGGTGGCGGGGGAGGAGGAGGAGAAGGAAGGGGCGGTGGCGGTGGTGGCGGGGGAGGCGGTGGTGGGGGCGGGGGCTGAGGAGGTGGTGGAGGCGGCGGCGGGGCGGTGTGGTCGAGGGAGGCGGCGTGAAGGAGATGGCGGCTTGGAGCTGAGAGGAGCAGGCTAGGGAGGCGGCGCGCCAGGCGGGAGCGGTGCAGGCTGGGCGTCTCCAGCGAGGGATGCAGCACGCCAGGTGGGAGCGGTACAGGAGATGGCGGTGCGGCGCAGCAGCCGCCTCCATCGGCCCGCCGTACTCCGCCTGAGGGGGGAGGGGCAGGGAGGAGCGGGCGAGGGTGGGAGGAAGGGAACGCGCGCGACAGAGTACGACAGGGGCTTGGAGGAGGTATAGACACGAATCCCGCTCCTGTTATCCGCCCCCCCTCCACCCAACTGCTCACGCCATCCAACAGCTGCTGTGCCCTGTGTTGCAGGTGTTAGCAGGATCTCCCGGTGCCCCCCAAGTTCCCTCCTCTTCACGACCCCCTTCCCTGCATCTCTGCCCGCCCTACTTTGACCCAACTCACATCTTCGTGCTAGGCGCTGCGGGCGATGGTGTTGGGAGGGGCAGAGGTGCCGTGGCTGGGGGCTGGTGGCTGAGGGCGGTTCCCAACACGGCGAAGGCTGCTGTGGAGAGGCTGCTCGACCCTAGAACGTAGCTTTGCCCCTTTAGTCATTGGTGAACGCATCAGATGCGTTTCACCGACTCAGGATGCAAAGCCCCTTCGGACCGATCGGCATGGCCGAAAGGCCGAAGGTCGTTCTGTTCTTTGGGTTCTGCTGCTGCTGCTGCTGCTGCCGCTGCTGCTGCTGGAGCTCCACGAATCCACAGCACTCCAGATGTCCATCTTCTCCCAAAGGATCCTGTAACCGCAAAAGGGATGGCGCGCTGGATCAAGTTTGAAAAGGGCAAAGTTCGTAGAACAGGCTTAACAGGCGCCGATTTAGGCAAAGCTGGTCTGTTTGAATGATTGCAAGGTAAACAGATATGGGGAAGCCACATAGCTGCAGACATCGCGCGCGAACCTACCATGCAAGCGCCGAAGCTCCATATGCCCTCACTAGCGTATCCTGTGGATGCAAAGGATGGGCTTCGCATCTCGAGTCATTGAACATTGGTAGTGTGTCCCAAATTCAACAGCGCAATTCAAAATAATAGCGAAGATTGTGGCCGCATACCGGTAAGCAATGACTGTGCATTACTATAAGTTAAGCAGCAAGAAGATTATAAACCTATGTTGATGTGGAGACTGCGTGGAAAGGTGGAGCAAAGTGCCTTAACTACTACGCCCTCATGTCTGCCTTGTACGGAAGGAAGATCCGTATTCCGGTTAGGCGCCCTTGCATTAAGCGACCACACTGGCTCTATACAAACAATTGCCAATACGCCATAAAGTATATGTGTGCCCAGACAATTGACTTAGCAAGACTTGATAGCCTGTGCATGCCTCGCCCAAAAGGTTTCCATCCTACCTAGGTAGACCCATACCCACTGAAACGTTGCGATGCTTTATTCTGTGCCGCTTGAATAAGTACGTGTTGAATCTGGTCCTTGCGGCAGGTCGATTTCCTTTCGGCGAACTGGGTGACACGTCGGGCTCCTATGAAAGCGGTACACTGGCACTAAAAAGTGCACCAAACAACAGCTATACTGCATATATGTTACATGCAAGCGATGGCTTATTGTTCAGGGATACTTGTGTCTAGATTTTGAGGGCGAATCATTGCGACGCCGCTCGGCGCGTACAAGGAACGCTATGACGATTGCGCCCCATATAGTGCAGCTATTGTGTTGCTAGGTCGTATGGTTTCTTCATCTGTTCTTGGGCGGCTCTTGTGTGCATGCGCCCGGGCCGTCCCATCCTTGTTAGCGTTATCCCTAAAACCCTAATTCGCCAAATTTTATCCGCCGACCCTTGGGCCGGAACCGCACCGAACCCTGTCAAAACCGTGGCGAACCTCAGCAACCCCACCGCACCCAGCCTGACCAAAGCACACTAAACCGTATGGAACCCCCATGCAACCGCACCCAGCTCAACCGTACTTTACCCCATGTAACCACAGTGAACCGTGCAGAACCGTGCAGAACCACACCCAACCGTAGGCAAGCAAAGCAAACCGCAACCTTTACCAGCCCACCAAACCCAACCAAATCCAATATAACCAAAACGTCAACCACCCAGCACCAAAACTAACTCTAATGTACTTCAGCCGTTGCAACCGTACCAAACCCAATCCAACCCCACAGAACCACGCCGACACGTACCCAAGCAAACCCAATCCGAACCCTCCCTCTATGAGAGCCCACCCCAGTGATACCGTTGTGAACCAAGAAACCAAACGTCAACCACAGGCCACTCCGCCAAAGTCGAACAAACCCCATGCTTGCAGACCGAACCACAGGATACCACACGCAGAAATGCACGTTTGCGATGGCTGCAGTATGCATGTTCGTCAGCATAAGTGCTGGGCGGCATGTGTCTAGGTTTGGTATGCATCTAACAGGTGCTTTGCAACCGTGTACTGCATACCGGTTCCGGACGGTAACCTGCCCTTGGCTCGACGGTAGCAGGCGCTTTATTATTTGCCAAGACACACAACACACGTCAACATATAATATGCGAGGGATGATAAAAAACATAAGACGCGTTGCCTGATGTGCCGACATTTCCAACAGAAACACTTACATCTCAAATATGGCTTAGGATAGCATGATCAGATATGCGTTAGTTGCATTGGGTAAGATGCTTTCATAGAAGCGTCTTGTGGGGAGAATATGTATTTTGTGGTGGCCAAAGCTTCAAGGGGTGTTTCGCACCAGGGACATACAATCGTAGTGACAACTAACCTAAATCATTAATGCTGTGCAGGGTCACAAGGGATCAATGAAGCGAAGGACGGAGGACGTATGGAGGCGAAAAGCCATCAGTAAAAAGGCCAAGAAGAATGGTAGGCGGCCGATTGCTATCTACGAAGACGATGAGGAGGAGGAGGAGGAGGAGCTGAGCTATCAACCAAAACGACGGACGACGGTAAGCCGAGGGCTCCCATGTGGGAGGATTGCTATCTTTCTTGCCAGGGATCCTCTGCCAGCACGCGCGCATGCTTGTAATCAGTCTTGCATTGAAAGCTTTTAAAGAAAGCTGTAGGTTATGTTAAAATATGGGCGAGGCATTGCCGCTGTCGCCTTTACCTTCGCATCCCTATCCTTGGTTGCTAACCGTGGGTGCCCTACACGCTTTGCTGTCATTCGTTATCTATGCAGGAGCGTGGTCGGATGGCTCCGGCAAATGAGGCTCGACAGCAGCGCCATGTTACAGCAGCGGAACCTCCAGGCCTCTACAGCCGCCCTGCTTTGTTTCGCACTGCTTGGGACAGCCCATCATCTCACCAGCTGTCTCTGGCTGCCATGGATGTTGACAGCGATCAGGAGGATGGGTACGGCACCCCGCCACCAGCACCACGGCAACGGTATCAACGGCAGCAATTGCCACAACCAGCGCAGCGCCAGCAGCCCCAGCGGCAGCCTCTATCCCCTCCACCTCCACCACAACGTCAGCAGCAGCAGCCCACGCTGCCGCCGCAGCTGCGACCACACCCCCAGCCGGTACAAAACCATCAGCAGCGGCAGCAGCAGGCACCTCCACCTCCCCTACCGCAGCAGCAGCGCCAGCAGCCCCAGCCGCCTCTGCAAACCCAGGAAGAACCGCTACAGGACCATTGGCAGCGGCCGCCTCGATCCCCTCCACCTCCACCACAACGTCAGCAGCAGCAGCCCACGCCGCCGCCGCAGCTGCGACCACACCCCCAGCCGGTACAAAACCAACGGCAGCCGGCACCCCCACCTCCCCCACCGCAGCGCCAGCCACCGCTCCCGCCTCAACAGCAACGGCAGCAGCAGCAACCACCACCTCCCGGGCAAATGGCTGGTCCTCGGCCACCTCCAAACGCCGTGCAACAAGCCGCCTGGGTTCGTGGTCGGCGGCAGAGACCTGCCCAGCAGCGGGGTAAGGACCCGGGCCCGCCGCCTATACCCTTCCCTTGTGATCGGGTACCGGGCGACACCAAGTGGTATCAGTTCGGCAGGGTCCGCAGTGTGGGTGAGGGCGGGGATGAGGTTGAAAGCGAGGATGAGGGCGCTGGCAGCGGTGGGCGTAAAGCCAAGCTTCCATCAAACGTGCCCCTTCTTTGCTGGCCTTCTCACGTGGTGAAGAAGAAGAAGTTTGGGCTTCTGGCTATCCTCAAGAAGATACCGGCGCAGATGCCAGTCGGCAAGGAGCTCAACCACTACGAGTGGTGGTGTACCGAGGCCTTCGACTTCACCGTCGCGGAATTCACTCAGGCCAAGAAGGAGACCTGGAATGGAATCCTGAACACGGTGTCCAAGTTCTTGGGCTTCTGCAGATTCGTGGAGTGTGTACCCCCCAAGTTCATCTCCCTGCGCTTGGCAGGCAACCCGGTAAGCCTCCTTAGTCCTATGATTGTAGTTTGGGTTTCGGTCTGCAATTCATGGGGATGTCATGGGATGGGAGTACGTGAGGAAGAGTGAGTCGGGTCTTGCCTGTACTTGCCTGCACATGCAAGGCTGTATCTGTACGAAAGCGCCATGCCACATCCATCCTGCTCAGCATCGCTTATACCCCTTTGCGCCTGTAGACGTTGGTCATCCGCTACCTCGACTTTATGATGATGCGGTGTGCTGCTGCTCATTTGGGGACTGAGGTCTGCCGCTTGAAGCGGCTGGTCGTATACCTGGAGAGCTACGATCCTACATTGACGGACAAAGAGGTCAGTAGTATGGGAGATGCTGTGGTGCTTATTCTAGACCCATCCCCATCCATGCCTGCATGACGCAAGAACATTTGCTTTTTACATCTTCCCTACCATATATACTATTGCTTGTGTAACGCATGGTCGGTGGGGAGATATGATGCATGCAGTGTTTACCTTGTTTAATAATGTATCTTTCAATCTCCTATTAGCCTTAGCATTCTCCCCGGTATTCCCTTTCACTGCACAGAGGGAGAAGCTCATGGACATGGTGGAGTGGCTCAAGAGGATATCCGACAGCTTCCGCCGAAGCTACCCTACGCCTGCCCCGCCGCCATCTGATGTGGACTCCGACGAGGAGGACGAGGACGGACCCACGGGTCTGCCTGACAAGGTGCTGCTCCTGCGGTTCGTGATGGAGCTGCGTCAGAAGGCAGACGACGCCCTTTCCGCAGACATGGTGGCGGGTGACATCAGCTTCGAGACAGCTCTCCTTCAGAGGGACGCTCTGCTGGCTGAGTTCCTGTGCGGGCTCTATGTCCCCCCGCTGCGCCTGGCCTGCATTGCGACGCTCAAGGTGCCTGGCCGCGATGTGTGCACGCATGCGTGCTGCTCCAGGGCTAACTGCCGGGGGAATACCCTGCGTGCCTTGACAACACGCTCGGGAGAACCCACTGGCGGCATGAAGGTGGAGCTATTCCATCACAAGACGGAGCGGTTCCGCAAGAAGCCCATCACCTTCAAGCTGCCCAAGGTCCTGGCGGAACGTGCGCTGTCTTACATCAACAACATCCGGCCGATACTTGCTGGCGACGACGACACGGATGAGGAGGGGGAGGAGACCGCGCCAGTTCCCTTCCTCTTCCTTACCGGGCGAGGGAAGGCTCTTGGCATTTCGGGCGGCACCACAGTAGCAGCCTTGTGGAACCGCATCCAGCAGCAGCACAGTGCGCCATGGCAGCCATTCACAGCACGCCTTTTCCGCCACATTCACGCCAACAGCGAGTTCAATGCAGTGATTCGGGAGGTTGCTGCCGGGAGGACCCACCTGGATGGTGACGCTCAGATCATGGGCAACTCCCAAGCTGCGTGGGACTCAAACTACATCAAGGACCATGACTCCGCGATGATGCAGGCGACGGTGGATCGTCTCGAGGACTGGAGGCTGATATGTGAGCAGAAGCTTCGGCGGCAGGGCAGCGGGGGCAGCGGCGAGGAAGAGCGGCCCAGGGACGCAGCAGCAGCGGCAGGCGAGGCGCAACCGCAGGGGCATGAGGTGGCAGCGGGCAAGACTCCTCCTGAGGCAGCAGCAGGTGCACCAGAAGGCCAAGAGCAGCAGCTGCAGGGGACCGATGCACCTCAAGGCCAGGTGCCACAGCCGGGGGAGGCAGCAGCAGCGGCGGAGGGCCAGGAGCAGGAGCTGGGGGAGGCAGCAGTAGTGGCGGAGGGCCAGGAGCAGGAGCCGGGGGAGGCAGCAGCGGCGGCGGAGGGCCGGGGGCAGGAGCCGGGGGAGGCAGCAGCGGCGGTGCAAGGTGGGGAGCAGCAGCCGCAGGACGTAGCAGCGGCTATTGGCGAGAGGTTCCAGCAGCAGCTGGCAGAACCTAGGGGTCGGCCCTCGCATGCACCAGCCCCTCGCCCTCTGCTCGGCCGGCTTCGCAGGTTGTTCATGGGCAGCAGTGCTGAGGCAGATGCAGCCCAAGCCGCAAGGAGGCCACAAGGAGCGGACGGCTTTCATGGGCAGCCTAGCAGTACGGCAAGTGGGATGGGACCCAACCCCCAATCGGCAGCAGGAGGCAGCAGCTTGGAAGGAGGCTTTGGTGATCTGGCGGGAGGCGATGGTGGCTTGGACGCTGGTGCTAGGAGGCAGCAAGAGCTTGGAGCAGCAAGCGGCCAGGGTGATGCAAACATGGATGGTAGCATGCACGGGGGGTACGGCGCATACAATGCATATCATGAGGGTGGTGACGGCGAGTTTGCGGATGCAGAGGATGGCCAGGGCCCGTTGAGGGGCATGGGCGACGATGAGGGGGGTGAGGAGGACGAGGAGGGTCGAGGGGGTGGCTACGGTACGAGGGGCGGCCGCCGGAGCTATGCCAGGAGGCAGAGAGCGGTAGAAGGTGAATGGGAGGACTTGGGGCAGGAAACACCAGAGGAGGGCGGGTGGGAGGAGGAGGATGAATCCGAAGAGTCCGATCCCGAGGAGGAGGGGGAGGAGGAGTGGGACGAGGAGGCAGACCGACGGCCGAAGCGGCAGGGAAGGCAAGGCGGCCACTGAAGGGAATCGTTTGGGGTATGGGGTAGGCGACTAGCAGGAGTAGGTACATTTAAGCATTTAGCACCTGGTTATGAGGTTTCCTAAGATGCGGGTTCGTGTTACTTTAGATCATTATGTTAATGTGTGGGCATAGAAGACCATGTCTCAGCAAGGGGGTTCTGTTTTGTGTGATGTCTGACTCAAGTCGTACTAAGGGTATTGTACGTTGTACTATGAACGCTTAGAAGGACGAGTGCAAGTGCACGTCCTGTGGGGCTCAGACCTGGCCTTCCCTACCCAGGGTATCTGTTTGTGGCTAAAGACAAGGCCTTTGTAACAGTAATCCGTGCATACGTGACGTTCATCCACGGCTCTCCCATGCACAAATACAAGCTGAAACCTGTACCAGGCAGTGACGTCGTATTCAGACATAAAGCAGTTACCTTTGCACATCTAACTTAAGGCAAGACACCAGACCTCTCCAGCCAGCAAGCAATGCAGTGCCTGTGCAGAGATTGCATGCAAGGAAAAGTACGTAGGGCTACCTAAGAAGTTCTTCTCGTACCCTTGTGTCAGGTGCATGCACGTAGTGCAGGCAGTTTCATCTCCAGTAGTAGTCAACAGCTCTAGCTGCACGCCACATGAGGGCTACCCATGGCCCAATAAGGTAATATCCACCTTTCAATAGCCATAGCTTCTTCATCTTATCATGTGTCCATGGGTTTCAGTGGTGGCATCGTACTGTTCGTTAGCTAGCCAGGCGGTGGACGGTGTACAGGCCCTGAAACATATCGTTTTGGTGAATCCAGCACAAAGGAAAAGCCATACATGCAACAGGGAGGTAACAAAAGGCCAACAGAGACCCACGGACCCTGCCTATTCTGTAGCTGAGTTACAACGACACTAGTTGCTTGGGTACACGGGGTCAGCAACACAATATCCCTGACACAATCCCTTTGGCTGTTGCCATGTTTCAGCACTTGACTCGTGCGTTGGGCTGTCCAGCGAGCTCCATGTCATTTTACCGGTTTGACGGAAAACACGAGACAGCCTTATATACCGCCGTTTTCCCGCAAGAGCCAATCTAATTGTAACATGCAGCATGCGCGCTTTAATGCTTTAGGCTCCCACAGCAGCAAGGAGAGTCGGGCTACTCATGGCAATCGGCGGAATGCCCCGACTCGCGCGCAAGACGTAAGCACTACTATGGGCTTCGCTAAACTAGAGTCTTCCCTGTGACTATGTTTTAGCGCGGTTTACGTGTTCGTTGGGCTGTCCAGCCAGCTCCATGTCAAGTTACCGGCTCGACAGAAGACATCTTAATTTACGCCGTCTCCCCACGAGAGTCGATTCAACAGTAACCAGTTGCATACAGGCTTTTACGCTTTGGATATAGGCAGCAAGAAGAGGCGAGCTTCTCATCATAACCGGTAGAATGCTCCGACCCAAAGACTTGCGCACAACTAGGGGCTCCTTTAACGTATACGGGTTCATAAGATGTACACGTTTTTGCTTCGTGCGTTTCCGCTTTTGCATAATATCGAGCTTCCTGCTTAGGAAGACCAAACGTTTCATACGCTAACTAGAGCTTTGCAACCATATCAAATCAAAGATTTCATGTCTTTACGTCCCAGCGCTGGGCGCAGTTCCAACTGTTTGGCAATGGTTGTCAGACCTATCCGTCGCGATTTCTGAAAAGCCCACAATTATAGCCGAAGAATGTTTGGTTTAGTATATGTTATGTGTTACAAACACTGTATGCGCACAGGGCTGCAATTGCTGCCATAGGTGCAATGGCGCCAACTAGCTGGTACGACGAGCGGGCTCACGATCCTAGTAGGAGGTCTCCTACAACTTGCATTCTCAACATATTAATACATTAAATGATATATACATAAAGGGCTTATGTTCAAGCTGTGGGCTTGCAGTTTTAAGTGCCTTGCAGGTCTCAACTAGGGAAGCTCGCGCCAAGGGTACACATCCAAGCCTGAAAGGTAAGCGGATGTGTCTTTGCTTTAACACTTCTGCATAGCATTATTCTTAGCTTCGAACAGTGAACGATTTGCGCAAGGGGAGGTATCCATTGACAAATGGATGGAGACATTCTGGTCACCACTCGCACCCTTACACGCAAACAAAGCTATCTGTGTCCTTTAATGCCACAGCATTGTTGCTTTTGGGATATTTCTTGTGAAACAACGCAGCAGAATGTAAGAAACCGAAGTGCGCGCGCTGCCATGTTCGCTTAAATTTGAACCACCCGCCAGATCGTTTTGCCCCGTAGATTAAGTCGAGTCCGTTCCCCATCCCTTGTATCCTCTTTATGCGCAGAACCTTGAAGGACTCGATTGGCTCTGAGAGCCATAAACAGCCTCAGCAAGACATGTACCCAACCAGCCCGTGAGCTGCAACGCATCATACGTATCCAGGTGAGCCGTTTGAGCACGCTCGTGTATTCCATATGCTTGCTCTCAACATTCCTCCGGAAGACCCTGGCCGTAGCTTCTTGACCTAGAAGTGCGCGGCTTGAGTCGGCCACATGGAATGAAGAGACCGAGCGCTGATCTTTTCTTGTTTGTCTTGCTTACACAACCAGCTCAAAGACATTGCTAACCTCGTCGTATTCCCTTCCTATGCTCTGCATGTGCGCTTCTGACAATGGACTACGTGCCAAGCAGCCAAGGTTGTCACAAGGCACCGTCAATTCCAGGTGTGTCCTTAGTTTAAGCGCGCCATTTCTACGCCTTTTATACTTGCTCTCGACATTCCTACGGAAGACCATGCCCAACTGCTGCTAGCAGAAGTGAGCGGGTGGTGTCTGCCACACTGAATGAAGAGACCGAGTGATGCCGCATGTAGGCAATTTACAGCTTAGACGGATAGCCGTTTGACAGCTTCTAACTCTGCCTTACTGCCTTTCATTGCCTGCATGTGCGCTTCGGACTATGGGCTACAAAATCAAGCAGTCAAGGCCGCCGTGACAAGCCCGCCCACCGTAATCCATCAGGTGGGTCATTTGCATGCGCGGATTCTGGACTCCCCAACCTTGCTCTTGACATTCCCTCGGAGGACCGTGCCCAAGGGCTTTTACAAGATGCCAGCGGGTAGTGTCCGCCACACGGAATGAAAAGACCAAGTGCTGCTCAATTTTTTGCGATTTAATTTCAATACAGGCCCCTAAAACGATATCTAACCTCGCCCTACTTTTTCAATGCTATGCATGCTCGCTACTTTGTCCACCATGGACTTTTGGCTACACCGCCGCCCCCTCAAGACGATACCACGGCAGCAGGAACTCTAGCAGGTAAAATACGGTAATTTAATCGCCAGAATGCTATGCCACCCCGTTAAATTGCCTACCTTCCCATGCCATGTAGGCTGCGCCATTTATGGCCCCTAAACGCAAGTCGCCCGAGAATTTAACGCTACTTGGGCGCCTGACCTTTTTCCTCCAGAAAAGACTCGAGGTTATTGAGGTAAGGCGGTGTTAAATTTCCAGCCTTGCAGTTGTAAATGGTTCACGCATAATTGTCTTTCTTTCCATGCAGCGCCAAATCTGCGGTGGGGAAGGAGTGGAAGGCGTGTACGGGTCACTGACAATTGCAACATTAACTATAGTCCTACTGGTTCTTGTCAGAGCTGGCCTCCTACGCACGAACAGCGTCTTCGGGGACATCGGGGCTGGTGTTGGCAGGTGGGAAATGTGCACTGAAGTACGACGCTCACACATGTACTACAACTGTCGTACCTCGCTTTAACTTTGTTTACCTTCTTTCAGGACCCTGGTAATAGTCGCGTTCTTGTTCGGAATCAAAAGCATTGGCTGGGAATTGGATAAAGTAAAACGAGGAAAGGCCGAGAATTTTATTGAGAGGTTCCAGCCGCATGTTGACAAATACAAGGTGAAAGATCCTTGGAACCATTTAGAAGCCGACGTTAATTCTCTTCTGACAGCGTACAAAACACCAGAGTGTTTTTCCTGCAAACCAGACAACAGCGACGTGAGTGTACATGGTTGGGGCACGCTAGACAGGGCTTGAACCCGGCCCTAAAAGTGCCCTGATTGTTTAAAGCCGCCGTTTTCCTTGGTATTTGGCAGGTCAATTATGAAGATGTAACAGTCCTGTTCTCTTTTTGGGAGGGATTTGGTGACAAGGAAAAGGTCACTAAACACATGAAGACCGCTACTCAGCTCGAGGTGATTTGAACAGCTTGCTATTACCCTTTGTTGCATTGGTTCATGCTGATTTAACATGTTTCCTTGCCTCGCAGGCTCTTATTATCGTACAAAAGCATGAAGCTAAACCTGTCGAATTCATGGCAGGCTTAGGATTCCCCGGACTCACCCTCCTTACAAGATTGCCAATAAGAACCTCAGGTCTGATAGTATGCACGCTTAGTTGCTGGTTGGTTTCCCGTTAGCAATAATTATCTTACCAGACCTCGTCTTCTTGCAGGTGCCAACCAGACGTTTCAAGCATATATCTTCCTTACAAGTCTTGGCAAGTCCAACATGCTACCAGAAGTTCAAATACAGGAACAGGCAGGTTCAATATCACTAACGTACCCGTGTATTCTGTATGCTGCCATATATGTCATGCTCTGGTTAGGGTACGTGTTTTCGACTCACTGTTGCCCTGGCCTCCCCCTCCTGTTTAGGAATTCCTACCTCCTGCAGTGTACGACCTGCCCGTGAATGACCATACTCCGTTGTTAATTAAAATGATGCAAGAAGACGAACAGGCCAAAAAGGTAAGGCCATGATAACAGTTAGATATGAGTTACAGTATCTTGTTAGCTTCAGCGCAACCTCAAAACTACGGCATGTCGCATGGCTGCAGGCTCGGACCCTGATTCCTCCCAAAGAAGCCATTATTGCGCCAAGCCCCAATGCACAACAAGGGCAAGAGGTACGTTCCTGCTAACGAACCCTGACCTTTCATAAGCCACAAACATCAAGCCTAACTGGTCCCCTAGATAATAACTGTGCATCTGGCAAAAGGCAGCTAGTTACCATCAGCCAGAGCAAGTGGAATGCCGGTAATAGGTGTATTGCATGGCAAAAACCTCTCATCTACCCTTTCTCTATTTAGCATGACAACCACCCGACTGTACTCCTCCGCATTCTGTTTTTTGTTAGCACGGCAATCCCCCCAGTAGATGTGGCTTGCGGTTAGGCATGTTCCACAGTCACATATGTGCATCGCCGGAACACCCCGTTCACCTTCTACCATGTCTAGCTGTGCCGCATCCATCTCCTCCACGGGACACCAACTGTTATCCCATTTCCGGACCTTCTTACGATGGTTGCGTATGACAGTCTCGGACGGAGGGCCATGCACCATCCATAAGATTAACCGGTGTACATACTCCGTCTTGCTCCTTGGTTGCAGCTTCAAGGTGATGTATCGTAGCTTGTTTTTGTCATGGTGTTGGCGTTGTACAATACACTTGGCAACTGCTTCCGTGTTTGCAGCACAGTTTAGCCCGTCAACCAGTACACAAAGGCTGCGCCAGCGTGTTAGCACCTCGTCGTCCTCTTGCGGTCTTAGGTGCAAAGGATATAGGAGCAGGCAAGCCCAATGAACGTCCAAAAGACTCAGGTTAGGGCAGTTAATTTTATTGTGTAGCTTGCTCACGGCATGACACCAGTAACCGAGCTGCCAAGGTGGTACGTACTGATCAGGAAACTGCTTCTGCAAGCACGCATGAGCAACATAACCCAATGCTTTGAAGGCTCGAGCACATAGATTGCTGATGCTTCCATCCCATAGAGCTGTGGTGCCCTTGGCAGGATCAAGACGCCGAAGGACACGCAGCAAACTGTATGGGCGAATGTTGCCAGGCTGCAGTTCCAGTAGCTTTTCGATTGCTAACTCTGATGGTCCTGCTCGCATGAAGCTTTCTCCCAATGAGTTAGGAGGTGGGCACTTATGTTCCTTGTTGCCAGTCTTGACAGGCTTGACTCCGAACGGCAGTTTAGCCACTGCGGCCATGTCGTACTCCTCCCTCCGACCAATAGCGTTGATGTCACATTCTGCCTGGTCCTGAATGGATACGAGTTGCTAATTTAATAAACCACCTGTTGATGCAGTTGACGACAAGTTCTTACACGCACCTGGCCGGCGGCATCGGCCGCATCCCTAGCATCCATACTTCAGTGAATAGCTCGTGTTTGCCTTATTGTTATAATGGAAATCCTAATACCTAAATTGTCAAAGAAAGCGTCCTTATTAAGAATCGATGTTCTAGTCGCAAGTGCCTTGGTAGTACACCTTAGTACTATGGTTCATGTTATTAAGCTGCGCTAATGAGACATTGTATTTGATACTGTTGTTGTGTTGCCACCAACTTAGAAGCGCCTCCTAAGAATCTGTGTCGTACCACTACCATTCTTGAAGGAATACGAGTCTTTGCACTTTTCTGAGAGAGGGATTTCATTGCCACCTACGTTCACCCTTTCAATTTAGGATGATGCCTTTGAGCAGCTCGCCGAAGAGCCCCAGCAAGATTGCGCTGCTCTTGGGACGGCCACTCTTCAACCCGCTAGTGCGGACTTTTCAGATGTGCTGCCCACCACCGAGCACAACAAAGCACCACAGCTGGACCCGGTACAGCAGGTACGCAGCAAAGGCTGTTTTAGGTTAAACCAAGGATGTAAGATACCTACCGCCGTACATGAGGCCTTACATAACCAAACGCATTTCTTTAATCCAGGACGGCACTCAACCAGCTCAAGACACCCAGGTCGACGGCGCTGTTGAGACCCAAGCCGCCACCTCCATCAATGGCACTGGCTCTGGCGGCGGCCTTACAGCGCTACCACCCGGGCCCTCCTCTGTGCTGATGCATGGTTACACTGGCTACGGCCATACAGGTTACGGGGACCAGGTAAGCTTGTCCAATGATATTAAACTGTACCTGTATGCAGCTCGTTCTCCTCCAAAACGTAGTTCTGGGTGTTAGACGGTTTCGGTTTCAGGATTTGAGGACTACTTGCATTACCCCTGTCAGAGCAGAACGATATAGATTGCAGTCCTCCTCCTGGCATAATGATTTACACCGGTCCAATACGTGCAGGCTTTCTTCTCCAATTCGAATCCTCTGAGCACCTTCCTCTCTACGCCGGCTGGTAACCCATTCCTGGTACGTATTGCAGGATTCTTTTGGAGGGATGAACTAGGCAGGCTAGATTGTATTTTCCTTTCCCATTTTGGCATAACTATTACATGCTTATTCAACCACAGGCGGCACGGGCACTGAGGTTGTACGGCAAGCAGACAGCCAATGTAGTCATGGAGACCGAGCCCCAAGCTGCGGCAGACATGCTTGCCCTTCTTGCGTGTACGGACCCCAAGTCTTGCCTAGTGGAGTTGGTCAGGCTCAAGGACTTTCTGTCCAAGCCCAGTGCGCCCGGCCAAGGCAAGGTTGCTGCAGAGCTGGTGATGCATGCCCCTATCCTGCTCACCACGCTACTGGGCCAGGAAGCCTATGAGAACTTGTCCAAGACTAAGGGCCAGGCACGTGTCAATCTCCTTCAAGCCATGCTCCACCATCAGCTTGCTGGATACAACGGCAAATGCAATGAGAAGGTGAGTTCTGCTGCGGTTAGTGGAATGCTCTAGCCTGCATGGAGGGACGTTTTTGAGTGCTGTGCTCGAAGGGCTTTGTCAAATGTAAGCAATTACGTACCGCTGTTCATAGCTTACACATACGTCTTTGCTGTGATTTGTGCTTTTTCCTGATATGTATGAAACGGACCTGATGGCATGCCAAATAATCACTGGTCCGCAGTTGGGCTGCACGCCCTCAGTGGAGCCCCTGCCTCAAGATCGACGGCTTTCATTTGGTGTGGCTGCCTCTTCAATGGCTCCAACTATGATGCGGCCTAGGCCTTTCAGTCCCTCAGCGGCCGCCAGGACAGCTGCCCCGCCCTCAGGCCGTCCATCGTTGCCTGCCAGCTTCAAGGTATGAAAAGGGGAACAGAACGACAAGGAATGTGCTCTTTTGCTTGTTAGGATCTGCTATATAACTAGCCAAGTAGGCTGCCTGCTGCGTACAGCCCGCATAAAGTTAATTACAACCAGTTTTGATGGCTTACTGTCTTCATTTTCCCCCTTAATGTATACAGAACGAGGGTGTGACGTACAAGCAGAACAAGCTCGTGCCCTTCATCTTTGTCAGCACGTGTGGCAGTGTCTCCCGGACAACATCAGAGGGCATCAAGGTGCTAGAGGCCAAAATCCAGGTCGGCACCGGGCACCTTGTTATCAAGACAAGGCTAGCTGCTGGCAAGAACCCGAAGGAGGTCCAGGTGCGGAGGCTTGTAGCCTCGACCTTCATGTCCTCAGAGGATCTGGGGCTGCTGGGCCTGACGTCTGCCTCTGACCTCAAGGGGCACTCGTCTGGCAGTCATCAACTTGGCACCAAGGATGGTGACAAAACCAATGTTGCCCTTGACAACTTAGTCATTAAGAAGCGCGGCTGATTATTGCGCCTTATGCCAGAAAGCATGAGATGATCTAAGCTAATTTCATGTCGTACGAAATGCATGGTCTTTGCAGGATTAGAGAGACAACAACTAATGCAGGGGTGAAATTGCTGAGAAATGCAATTATTGAAGTCCGTTATGTCGTAGAATATGACACGTAATATTCGATGTTTGGCTGCAGGTGTTTATCGTGCATAGGTTGGTAAATATGGTTTCTTTTTTTGGAAACGTGCCTACGGACTTGCTTGGGATTACAGGATTGGATTCTTAATTAAATTCCACTCTTCGAGAGAGAGAGAGAGAGAGAGAGAGCATGAGATCGCTAAGCTGCGTGCAGGGCAGCCATTGTAAACCCTTATCCATGCATAGCTGAGTAATGAACCCAACTGAATTCGGGCACAAGTAAGCAGCGTGGCAGCATGATACTGGCAGCGTGAACAAAACTCTTCAGTTCACAAATTTATATCTTTGCCAATACTTAACCGTTTGACACACGAACATAAGCAGCGGCCTCAGCTAGACACATAGATTACGGGGGCACACTCCTTGCAGTTGCCCCATTGATGGCGAGCACAGGAAAAATGGGCAAAAACCGTTGTTCGTTATCACTAAAGGGGCCTTGCTACGCCCCGCCATGCACCCTAGCTACTGGCGCAGGTTCCAGTGTTGCAGGAACCGCCGCATGTACGAAAAGCGCAGCTTGGGAACCTCCTCCGGTGTCAGCTCCGGGATGGGGAGCCCCAAAGACAGGTGCTCCGCAAAGAAGATAGTGTAAACACCGCAGTCGTCCGTGTTCCCCTGCTGCGGAACCTCCACCAGCTTTACGTCCCACGTCCGCATGTCCAGGCGCACACGGTGGCGTACAGCTGCCTCACGCTTAACCCAGTGCTTCAAGTTGTTGACGAGCTCCATGTAGTCGTGCAGCTCCCTCTTCATCTGTGGCATGCATGGATATATCAAGGAAACTGCTTTACTGATGTTTTATTCTCGGTAATTATTTGGAAATTGTCAGAATTATGGCAACCGATTATATTTATACGGGCCCAAGTAGAGGGAAGGAATCAGTGTTTTGCGCTGTCGAGGATCCAAAACGATTATCCTAACGGAAAGCCCTAAAACTTACCGAGTCATAGACGCGCACTGCCTGCTTCGACATGTTGATCTCCACCAGGAACCAGTGGTTTTGGCTGAAGTGGATTGGCACCAGGACGAATTCCATCTCGTGCACCGGCGGCAAAGCCAAACCCACCTGCATAAAGAACGGACAAGGAAAATGTTTGCGAATTATAATTGATTTTAAATTTAATTAAGGCGTCCTATACAGCGCTGTTTAACCCAGTAGTAAGATTCCCACGTATCTACCTGCATCTTTTGCAGGCGCTCAGGTTTGGTCCAGCGCTGGACACGATACCACTTGGCCCTAGGCCCCTCCTTGGTCAGCTTCCCATAGAAGAAAGACGACAGGAAGAGGCTGATGCCCGGGCCCCTATACAGCCGGCCCCTCCGTACCGTGAAGTTCCTCACCTGAAAAGGAAATCAAGGATAGGTGTAGCAGGTACAGAAGATCAAATTGGGAAGAGAATACCTTGGGGCTGTTCATTGGGGCCGGAAAATGAATAGGTTAAAAACGAACGTAAAATAAATAAAATACGAGCAATACTATGGACGACTCCTTACATTCCAACCGCACCTGCATGAAGGTAACGGCCGCGTTGATCAGTTCGTCGTTTAGCCAGGACCCGTTGCCAGGAAGACCAGGGGCAAGGCGCCGAAGGTCCTGCCGCCTAAGCTTGAGGTTTATGCCAAACCTCGCCAGGACGTCCGTGGGGCTGCCTTGACCATCGAAAATGGCAAGGGCAGCGTCCTGCTCCTTTTTGCTGGCAGATTTGAAGTATGCGAGCGCCCCTCGTGGAATGTCATCAAGCTTACCATGGCGAGTAACCACCTCCTCCTCATTGTCAGAGTCGCTGCTCACGTATTCACCATCCCCCTTGCTTCCCCCTCCCTCGCTGTTGCTGCTTGCATCGCTGTCAATCCCCTCAGCCCCCTCAGCCCCCTCAGCCCCCTCAGCCCCCTCAGCCCTCTCAGCCCCCTCAGCCCCCTCAGCCCCCTCAGCCCCCTCAGCCCCCTCAGCCCCCGTAACATGACTGGTGACAGTGGGACGTGACCTCTTCATGGGTGGCAACCCAACACCATCTTCGATCTGATGAAGGCCAGCCGCGACGTCACCAGCAGCTGCCACCATGCTGTCACCAGCAGTGGCCACAATCGGAACAAGGTCACCACTTGACCCCACGAGCTCGCAGCCGGTTGCAGCTGCTGCAGGCTCTGTAGCAGCGGCGGAACCACTTGACCCCGCAAGTCCGCAGCCGGGTGCAGCTGCTGCAGGCTCTGCAGCAGCAGCGGAACCACTTGACCCCGCGAGCTTGCAGCCAGTTGCAGCTGCTGCCGTGGCCTCGACATGGGTGGTGGCAGGAGGAGCCACATAGCCACCTGCCAGTTGCTGAGGCACCGATGACGCCATGACCTCCAGTGCAGAAATCAACTCCACCAAGGGCTTCATGGCCTCCTCGTTAGGCCAAGCCTGCTTGTTTCCCCTCCCAGCATCATTCTCGCTCCTGGGTTGGGTTTTATGCAACGGGGTTTAATGGAGGTTAATGATGTGGTAAAGTTTTAGGCTTGGGCTTTAATCAATAATTGTCCCTGTCTCTTGCCCTTCAACAACGGTCTCTGCCTCTTGCCCCAAACAATGATCCCTGCATCTTGGCCCCCAAAATTACGTACTTGAGCTTCTTGAGGCAGGCAACAATGGCTGGCATGTCGAATCCCGCTTGCACGCGGTCAAATGCAGACTTGATGAACCAGGCCACATGCATGGCTGCCAGGTTCTTGGGCTGCAACGGCGGCAAGCAAATAAGGTTGGGGAGGCTATGGTACTTTATACGACTGCCACTAAACCGCCACAATCCCCGTGTTTGAACACATTACTGTATGGCAAAAAGAGCACCCTGCTTACCATTGAGGCTGTCGGTGCCCACTCAATTGCTTGCAGCCACCATGTGGGAATCTCCACGAAGTTTAGCCCCTTTGCAAGCTGCCGCATGGGAGTAATTATGTTGCGGAGCTGGATGGTCTTTAGGTTGAAGGGATACAACCAGTCCATCCATTTGTTGAGCTCTGTGGGTCACAGCCAAGATATGGAAGCAATGTTAAGGGAAAGGCTCGTCAATAGCTGTCCAAACAAAGGTAGCTTAGAAGGAATGCATGGTGTCCCCTGCAAACCATAACGTCAACACAGAGTTAAGTTGTGTAGGTCATGTGGCTGATATACAGGATACCTACCGGGGTACATCGTGCGTGCATCATGCGCCCCCTCCGGTGCGATCCCACTGCCATTGCCACCCAACTGGGCATGGGGAGGAGCAGCATGATACTGGATTCCCAGTGATAGGAACAGAACGGATTTGAGAAACTCCAAGACCGGCAGAAGGCGACCAGACCATTCCACGGAGACCTCTGAGAGATGCTGATCGATTATATTGTTTGTCGCTGAACACTGAAAGTTCGTGGCACCCGTCGCAAAGACATCTACCGACATGGTGAGCGTCGCAGTCCTAGTGCCGGCAAGCAAGCACTCGTTTTGCGGGATGGCATCTCCTGGCGAGTCAGGAGAGCCTGCTAATTCTCTTGAATTAAATCCTTCCATCAGGGCCGACGTTTTATGTGTCGCCGTCGGCAGAATCTTAAGGTTCCGGGTCCTTTGTCAATGCGAACAGCTTAACCCAAATTGACAAAAGTATAATAGGATGCCAAATTCGGCTGCTAATAATTGAAGTTTGCTGTAAAGGTGAAGACGGGGACGCTACGCTTGCATCACTCGTCGGTACCAGGTAACTAGTTAACCCGGTAGATTATAGCCCACTTCAATCTTTTGTAAATAACAAGTACTGGTTTATGTATTGTTTACAAGCGGTCTCATTAGCTCTTAGCATGAAGCTCCGTACTGCTGTCGTGCTAGCCGGGCCCCATGTGCAGCTAAACCTCATGCGCGAACACATGCAACCTTGCCACATCTATGAGCACTCTAAGAGGAAGCCATAGCCGCAATCCGGGCTCAAAACAGCAAAGGGATGGAGCAGATATGGGCATCCACGTCACAAACCGCCCTCCACCAACCACCAAGCGTACGGCACCGCGTACGGCATAGCGTTTCACCCACGTTGAAGTTCGCGACCGCACTGGCACCAGTGGATAGCATATGTGAAGGGCTATCCAGGGATAGCTTGGCCGCAACAGGCGACAACGTCTTGGGTAAACGGCGGCCGTTTCCCGCATTCACCCCCATGAGGCCTTACCACCACCGTCCCCTACCGGTTACACACATTTCGCCCCAAACGCACAGCTAAACCTCATGCGCGAACACATGCAACCTTGCCACATCTATGAGCACTCTAAGAGGAAGCCATAGCCGCAATCCGGGCTCAAAACAGCAAAGGGATGGAGCAGATATGGGCATCCACGTCACAAACCGCCCTCCACCAACCACCAAGCGTACGGCACCGCGTACGGCATAGCGTTTCACCCACGTTGAAGTTCGCGACCGCACTGGCACCAGTGGATAGCATATGTGAAGGGCTATCCAGGGATAGCTTGGCCGCAACATGCAACAACGTCTTGGGTAAACGGCGGCCGTTTCCCGCATTCACCCCCATGAGGCCTTACCACCACCGTCCCCTACCGGTTACACACATTTCGCCCCAAACGCACAGCTAAACCTCATGCGCGAACACATGCAACCTTGCCACATCTATGAGCACTCTAAGAGGAAGCCATAGCCGCAATCCGGGCTCAAAACAGCAAAGGGATGGAGCAGATATGGGCATCCACGTCACAAACCGCCCTCCACCAACCACCAAGCGTACGGCACCGCGTACGGCATAGCGTTTCACCCACGTTGAAGTTCGCGACCGCACTGGCACCAGTGGATAGCATATGTGAAGGGCTATCCAGGGATAGCTTGGCCGCAACATGCAACAACGTCTTGGGTAAACGGCGGCCGTTTCCCGCATTCACCCCCATGAGGCCTTACCACCACCGTCCCCTACCGGTTACACACATTTCGCCCCAAACGCACAGCTAAACCTCATGCGCGAACACATGCAACCTTGCCACATCTATGAGCACTCTAAGAGGAAGCCATAGCCGCAATCCGGGCTCAAAACAGCAAAGGGATGGAGCAGATATGGGCATCCACGTCACAAACCGCCCTCCACCAACCACCAAGCGTACGGCACCGCGTACGGCATAGCGTTTCACCCACGTTGAAGTTCGCGACCGCACTGGCACCAGTGGATAGCATATGTGAAGGGCTATCCAGGGATAGCTTGGCCGCAACATGCAACAACGTCTTGGGTAAACGGCGGCCGTTTCCCGCATTCACCCCCATGAGGCCTTACCACCACCGTCCCCTACCGGTTACACACATTTCGCCCCAAACGCACAGCTAAACCTCATGCGCGAACACATGCAACCTTGCCACATCTATGAGCACTCTAAGAGGAAGCCATAGCCGCAATCCGGGCTCAAAACAGCAAAGGGATGGAGCAGATATGGGCATCCACGTCACAAACCGCCCTCCACCAACCACCAAGCGTACGGCACCGCGTACGGCATAGCGTTTCACCCACGTTGAAGTTCGCGACCGCACTGGCACCAGTGGATAGCATATGTGAAGGGCTATCCAGGGATAGCTTGGCCGCAACATGCAACAACGTCTTGGGTAAACGGCGGCCGTTTCCCGCATTCACCCCCATGAGGCCTTACCACCACCGTCCCCTACCGGTGTCACAGAAATGTCCCCAAACGCACAACTAAACCTCATGCGCGAACACATGCAACCTTGCTGCATTACATGGTACTTCATAAGGAAGCCGTGGCCGTGACCTAGGCAAGGAACAGCAAAGGGATGGGCCCGAAATGGGCTTTCCGACTTCACACACCTACTTAACCACCCTGCATCCCTCCAGCGGTTCTGGAGCTGATCTCCTTACGAATGCTGCATTTCTAGTCTCACGGAGCACACTTCCTGATAGAATACAACCAAGGGACCTTCAGGATACCCATGATTCGCAAGTACGACGTCCATAGACAGGAGTGCAGTTGCAGACCTGCAAGTGACCGAAGTACTTCCACTTGCATGGCTCAGCATCAGTCTTGGCACAAGAGGGGACGGCGGTGTGCTGA